TCTGGATGGCATCCCTCCCTTCCACCGTGTCAACAGCACCACACAGCTTGGTGTCATCGGCGAACTTGCTGAGGGTGCACTCCATGCCACTGTCCACGTCACTGACAAAGATGTTGAAGAGGGCAAGAATAAGAATAAAGAAGAATAAGAAGGGCTTCTACAGGTATGTCAGCCAGAAAAGGAAGGTCGAAGAAAGCGTACCCCACCCTCATGAGAAAGACTGGTAGTAACAGATGAGGAGAAGACTGAGATACTCAACAACTTTTTTGCCTCAGTCTTCACTGGTAACCTCTTCCTACACCTCTCAAGTGCGTGAATAGACTGCAAGGCAGGGACTAGGAGAGAAGGTCCCTCTCACTGTAAGAGAAGATCAAGTTCACGAACATCGGAGGAACGTGAACTACGGAAGTCTATGGGACCTGATGAGATGCATCCCAGAGTCCTGAGGGAATTGGCTGATGGAGTTGCCAAGCCACATTCCATGATATTTGAAAAGTCATGGCAGCCAGGCAAAGTCCCTGGTGACTGGAAAAAGGGAAATATTGCACACATTTTTAAAGAGGGTAGAAGAGTGAACCTTGATAGGCTTGAGAAATGGGCCAGTGCTAACTGCATGAGCTTTTGACTTGTTAGTCAAAATGCAAGGTCCTTCACCCGGGTCGGGCCAATCCTAGGCACAAATACAAACTGGGCACAGAGTGGGTTGAGAGTAGTCCTGAAGAGAAGGATTTGGGGGTGTTTATAGATGTGACACCACCTGGGGCACTGCATTCAGCTCCTGGGCCCTCAACATCAAAAGGACATGGAGATGTTGATGAGGGTCCAGAGGACACCACAAAAATGATCAGAGGGATGCGACACAGTTGCACCATGCAAAGATAAACAAAAGTAAAGCAAATTAGGCACAACCACCTGGCCAATTAGGAAAATTGCTGCTACAGCTAAGCAAAGTGAAAACAAAGCTGAAGGCAGGTCAAGACAAGTTCAGACAAAGCAAGTCCGACAAGCCTCAGCCCTGAGGACTTGCAAACTCAATCAAAAGAGTGCGTCCTACTACAATCAACGCCAGTATTGTGTTTACTGGGCTACGAAGCTGTATCATCGTTTGTCCCAGTTGGGAGCCAATGGTTTTTCTTCTGCATGCCTTTCTGGTGACATGAGTTTAGCTCCACCAGCCAGATTCACCACTCACCTTCCCAAGCCCAGCAGTGACTTGCTTTCAAGCATTTTCACTATCTCTGCCCATGACTTATGCTCTCATTGTCCACGACTGCAGTGGTATTTTTAGTGTTGTTCTCTACGATGACAATGTAACACAATAATCTGGCTGCTGATGTATTTGGTTTTAAATGCGCTTTGACATCATAGTTTTGTGATGTTCTGGGCCATGACTGAACTGCTTATCAACCAGCGCAGGGTAAGGACAAGGTAGTCCGAGCCCAGAAACTCACGTCTGAGAAAGAGCACAGCAGATATCTGTGAAAGCTGTGAAATCTGTGAAAGTTGAAATCTCTTTATGAGTTTTGCGAGTATGTAATTAATGTTGGTTAATTAATGTTGGTTAATTCTGCCAATTAATGTTGGCAGAAGTGCTGACACACATACACGTCTGGTCAGTGAATAGGAAATGTTCAATATTTTTTCTATCCCTAACAAGTGAATGAGTAGCTGGGTATTTTGACCACGTAGTAATAAACCCTCCATTTACAACAGTGCAAAATAAATGGATCTCTCTTCAGCTTTGTGTGGAGAAAGAAGATAAAACAGGGTTTGTCACAAGTGCCTGTGGACAGAGATGCGGAAATGTTCATCCACATATCTGGACTCTAGCTTTGCCTTCAAGGAAACTTCAATATCTTCAGATTGTAGAAGCAAATTACCAGCTATGGTGAAGTGCCCTGGCCTTCTGGATGTAACAAATATCATTCAGTGAGGCAACAAAAAGCAGAGAGGTGGCCATGACGGAAGCCAGTGGCCACAAAGTGGTCTGTCACCATTGCATTTTACCAGCACATAACAAATCACTTGAGTTGGGTCTTAGCAAAAGCACAGCAAGAATGTGAAGTGCCCACTTCACATCTTGGCGCTCAAAAACTCAGAAACTTGAGGGTTTTTTTCACATGTTGGCGCTCAGAAACTTTATCAGAGGACAGGTGTACTATAAATAACTTTGATGATCACTGCAGTTTTAACATAATATCCATTTTATTCTGCTCAAAAGGGTATGAAAAACAAGAGATTTTAGCCTCCTTGGATCAGATCACTGGCATGGGTAGTTTAGTCTCCTGCCTCATATTTTGGACAAAAAAGTGTATCCTTAATTTCTTGTGTACAAGGAAGGGGATCTAGACAGCACAAAGAGCCAGCACAAAACAGCCACATAACTTGATTTTGTCTGAGAAGACTGGCCAGCTCAGCTATTCTACTGGCTAACACCTGGAGAAAAAATACTCTAAGGAAGCTCTTAGCATGACGTTTTTTGCTTTAAATATATTTCACGCAGCAGAATTTTTTAGTTCAAAATCAACCAGTTCAGTACAGCAAAGAAACTCCATAGTAATTTTTGTGGGAGTTGTTGAAGAGTCAATTCAAAAATTTGTGTCAGGAAATTGTGAGTTTTGCTTCTCTCTTGATCGTGGGAAAAGGGCAGATACTAAAAAAGCAATTTCTGGGAGCTGTTGAGGGTTGTCCATGAGGCATTCAAACAGAAAGTTGAGCTGGCAGGGGTTTATTCTCTTCTTCATTGGGTCCTTCAGTATGGAAGACATCATCATCAGCTCCTCACAGTCTAGTCCAGAAGAGGGCACAGAGGGAGCTTGCTACCATCCCAATGGGCAGAAATGTGATCCTCAGACTAGCTGCACCATCAGTGTTACACAAGTCAGAGTAACAGCAGGAGACGGGGCGCGTCATGCCAATCCCGTCCACATCAGATGGGACACAGATGGAAGAGCACATCCTGGTGACAGTCGAGACTCCCGTGAAGGGATAAACTACAACAAAGCGAGAAAGAAGGATCAGTTAGGAACAGGAGGAATGGAGGAGAATTCTCCCTGTTCCTAGTGAAACATTAGCTACCTTTGCCACCAAAGTCTTAGCTCCAGTTCAAACACAACTGGACTAATT